CTACAAGAAAGGTCATATACAATTTTTCCGTATGTCCAACGATTTGGGAGTTATTGGCAAAAAACGAAAATTTGGAAGAAATTGAAGGGATACCCCTTGGAAAAATCTCGGAAAAAACGAAAATTCTTTTTTTGTTGTTTATTATTAGCAATGTTCTTCCGATGTCTGATTTCTTTTTAAAAAATGCGTTTCTGAAGTGCATAAACTTTTGGGATTGACTGTATAGCCAATACATCCTTAAGTTAAACCGTCACTTTAAAGAATTTGCATAACTAATTCGTGCGGTATCAAAGTCTGTCACGCAAGAAATCTTAGTGAACACAGGAAACAGTGTAAAGAAGTACATGTTTATTTTGTCTACAAATTGTTGGTCATATCGTACAAGTGAGTGTAAAGCTTCCTTATAAAAATTCGTGATAAATAAGTTAAAAGCCATTGAATTATCGAACTGTGTAAACTTCTCGACGTTAGCATTTCGCCACAATTTGTGTATCTGCAGGCTTCGTATGTTCGTCCGAATTCATTTCTTCGTCTTTGATATCTAAATCCTTAATGAAGTGACACCAATTTATCCCGGCTCCGCAGTCTGGTTCTCTTTCCGACGCCCACCAAAGTGCAGTCTACAAGATTCAAGAAATATTTGACCGTAATTATCTCTGTAGTATACAATGTGATATGTTCGAAAGAATCGTGCCTTGACATTTATGGGCGGTGCTGGTGGAAGAGGGTCAATTTTCACGTTCATAAATCTTAGTAGGTCGTTATAATCCAACTTCCCTTCCTCATTTTTATTTATACTGTAATCAGTTAATGATATTCCAATTTTCAATTACAAATATTCAATACGTTCTCTAAAACATTTACGATATGAACGTACTGATCAAGCATGGAATTGAGAAGTTCCACGTCAACCGGAATTCTAGCACCTCGAAGAACAGTGTAAAGCGTATCGCGCGTTATAAATCCTGCCCGTCTCCTATCCCAATGATGTAAATCTTCCTCCAAACGATCAAGATCGTCCCATATAGTACGTAAAAGTTCCGTATGCATCAGCCGTCTAACAGAGATCCAATTAGCAGCATTTAAAAATTGTCTGTTTTCCTAAAATAATTTACCTTATGTACTCTCGAGTATGGAATTCCTTTTTCTCGTGAGAAGAATAATGCCGAGCGAGCGTGATCAGTTCATGCTGCACTATCTTGTCTCCTGCATACTTGCAAATCATTTCCCTATTTTTATATAAATAGTTTTACATTACATGCGATGCGAAACAATGAATATATTAATATTCTATTATATATCAATTACTTGAATTTTTCGTATGGCAGTATTTGATCGTCTCCATCTGATTTCGGTGGTGCGTAAAGCGATACAAGTTCCTTATAAACCGGCTTCAATATCTCTCGCAATTTGTCCATGATTAATTTCGCGTTAGCTTTCTCGAACTGAAAAATGTTAGAAGATGAAACCATATTTTAATGCGTTATCGCGTCGGATTTGTAAAGTGTGCAATACAATCGGTTGTTCCGAATCTGGAATCTAAAGACTGTAAAATTGTAATGGACCTTATCGCAATGTAATTCCATATAACGAAGAGCGTAAACATCGGCCGAGGTAATTTCGAAGATAAAGTCGTTCAAGTTGAGCCTAGCTCCGATATAGAAATCTTCCGGCTTGTAATAGTCTGGTTTCTTGCTTACGAATATCTCTTGATTCGGCAACATTACCGGCATCCTTTTCTGGAAGAGGCATCGCCTAAAACCTGTGGGTAATAGAATATTCATACACTGGCAAAAAATTTGCGATTGATGCAGTAATATTAGTTGTTGCATAAGAACTCTTAAACCAATTTATTGTTTCATATATTGTACTGCATGTTCAATAGCACTTTGGACACTGGAGATTTATTCCTTCTGCCAGGACTACCTGAATTTCTTATTCCCAGTTCGAATATAGAAACCGTGTCGTCCATAAGGAACGCTCTTATAATGAACTGTCTGCCAGCGTTTTCGGGTATATTCGATATCATTTTTGCTCTGAATCTCAGAACGTGACTGTCGAAACCTTGTCTGAAGGAATAAGAATTAGACAGTTGAAATCTGCCTGATTTAAGCGTACTTACTTATCATAGTGCAGGAATTTAATAATATCAGTCTTAGGTGCTTGCGGTATCATTCTGAAACAATTTCCAAGGGAGTCCTCGAACGAACCAAAACCATTATAAGGTGGAATATATCTTTCTACTTTCACGCAAATTTCATCACCTTTACGAGGTCTTTCAATAGGTGTACAATCGGTCAAGCCATATTTTTGTCTTTAAAAAGAGGGCAATAATAAATTAAATTCTCGCAAGTAATCGTACCCTTCGTATTTTTTTTTTTACCTATAGTATTCTTTTGTGAAGGCGTCCATGTCTGTTATAACGACAGTTCTGCCAAAAATATTTAATTGAGCGCCGATGCCCAACTCGTTCTCTTTATAAAACTCTTGATGATGTTTCCCAACGTTCAATGGGTCTACCGTATAGTAACCGTGAGTCGTATCCTCTCCCATAACATTCAGGACAGTAAAAGGATCTCCGGATCCGATCGGATCAATTGCAGTAAACAACTGTATTAAAATGTTCACATCTTTAATTTCTTCGAATCGTGATTTTAACAGTTGAATTCACGTTTATGAAATGTCGTCTTCATCTTTACACGGTTCCTATAGAATATCATGTATTTCGTTCAAATAATTGATACATTCCTAAATAATTTCAAGATCTCAGATCTATCAGAGATCGCGAATCTCAAATTGATTTTTATAATGCAATAACGACGTTTCATTTGTATCAACAGAATGTATCTGTCTCCTTACTTTCGGGACTCTCATTCGTCGCAAGAACAGGGGCCCCGAATCTCGCCCGGAATTCGGCGGCACGTTCTCTATAAGTTCTATCGTGCAGTCAGTGAGATAGTAATGTAATTCAAGATCATGCACGACTCCATAGAGATTATCCGTATCATCCCAATAGCCATAGAATCGAAGCACTTGTTTATCGTATTTCATGAAATCACCCCGGGTGTCCACCTTCCTTTGCGGTTTTTTCGGGAACATTTCCTGTTTCATAATTTATCACGTAGCGTGATAACTATTTTGTTAATGAAAAAAATCATGCGGATCTCACTCACTCGCTTATGAAGTTCTGAATGAGGATCTTTAGGTATTTTTATGGGATCTGGAACTGCAATTCCCATGCGATTTAAAAATGTTCTCGTGAATTTGTCGCAGTCTACGATTTTATATACCCTCCCGAAAATTTCCGGTTCTTTGCCAACGTTCAAATCGATTATATCATAAAATCTGTACCTAACTGGATCAGGCATTGGAATTCTCTGCCGTCTTACTAATATTCCTATAAAGCATCATTCATTTAATATAAGTAATATTGAGTGAAAGAAAATGTGGGATGAACATCCAATTTGCCTTGCTCTAGACCACTGTTATCCACGGTTGGCTCACTAACTTTCATTGTCCCATCCTCTAAGAAGAAACTTATGTTCACCACGCGAATTTGATAAGGCGTTTTCCATCTTTCGTGCACCGTTTCTTGGAAGTATGCTTTGAACATCAATCTCTAAAAAATGCTTACATTCATGTATGTTATTTCATTCATTTTACGATTCATCGTACTTGACCGTCGAAGGCAACCCATGCTGGTAACTCCTGAGCTTCCCCACGTGCATAGATCGACGGGAAAATAACAGGATCGCCTTTGTCAGCTTTTTCTGACAAGTAATAGACCCCCTCATGTACTTTAGCAAAGTACTGCCTTCTGTGAAAATGTGTTCGACCAAGCTACACGTTCAAGAAAATTCCCATATAGACCGTTAAATATTATCCTTCTCCTACTAACACAAATTACTTACGTTTTGGTCGAAACTAAATCCTGGTAGTAACGGAAGCTGATAATCACCCTGCATTTTTTACAATACGTCCAACGTTAAAACGTTTTTGTAATTAATAATTACATGTATTTATCAACGCAGGACTCGCTCAATCCCATCGATTTACATTCTAATTCTATTGACGCGTTTCCTTGGAGACTCGACGTACGGGGGTGAAAGAAAACTCAATTCTTTAATGCATATATAATATTTATACTTTATTAGTTTCAACAGGTAGTATTATACTGGCAAAATTACATTAGACCAGTATAACGCAGAAACATAAGTTTGTATAATATATCGCAATATACAATATAGCAAAAACTCTGGTATAAATATAACATACATATATTATATATATGCGTGTATACGTTATTAATTTGATTCGATAAGTTATGCTAATGTTCAACGGTATATACTGTGCAGATGAGAATCTACTTAACTTCGTTAGTTAAATTATTATAAATGTATAATACGTTAATTGATTAGTAGAAAAAGTTAAGCGTAATAAAGAATGAAACATCCAGTGCTTTTGAGTTAAAGCATTTTCTAAAGTATGCTCTTATTATGTAATATGTAGAATATTGTAAACTTTAATAAACGGTATCATATCGTGGTAACTCGTTACTGTACCTAATATTATGCGTTGTACAAAATTTTATTTTTGTGTATGGTAAACGTAAATATAGGAGAATAGACTGAGCGTCCAATGTATTTTTCTCTACCCCATAAAGGATAGGGGAAACATGTTTCGGAGGAGTTTCAGCTTCTCTTTCGCATATCAATAGGAAAAAAAAAAAGAAACTCGCCCATTCATTTTCTTTCTTTCAATCATCTGGTATCGAATCTCCCATGGTCTATTCTCGTATGTCTACAATTATAAATATGTAAGTAGATAACTAGCTATAACGGATTACTCTAATGGCACTTTCGCAAAGGTATTCTATGTAACAATATGACGGTAAAACAAAAATAGTACAACGAGCCAAGTAATCACGAGGCTAGACAAATTTTACTGACAGTGGACGGTTCAAATAGAAACTGAAAACATGCAAAATTAGCATTATGTCACTTTTTCAATCTTCATCGTACTTTTAGATTTCTCGAATTTGGTCACCAGAATTTTGTAATGCACGGAAAATATTTGGTCTGTTTATCACGTTTCATTCGAAGCACGAACGCGTCGTGGAAATTCGACAGACTGCCGTCGCACGCATATGAACAACTGCACGAATCTCCACTTGCTCTTCTTGAATTTCTAGTCTTTAGTCTCTGGTTGTAAGTCGTACCAGCTGGTGGACGACTTGGCGACGTCGATCTCATTAAGATTCAGATAAAGTTGACCCATCACGTTGCTCCCGGTCGACAGCCACCCTTTTTGAGTGCACACGGACACTTCTAGCGTGCGGCTATTTAAATCTGCTTGGGAAACGACGTATTCAAACTGCTCGTCGAACACTGGGCTGCAATTATCCTTTATCACTGCTGTCTTGCGTTTAGTTTCCTTGTGACGATCGGGAAGAAGATACAGCTTCACGTAAGGATCCGGGATATTGTGCGGATCGTTTTGCGGCAGAGGCAGATTGCTGTACACAATGAAATAAAATTGAGACGACCGAACGTCGAGTTATAGCTTTACTTGATAGATTACGTACGCTATTTTGTGTACGACGATTATAAGTTTCTGCCTTTGCGCGCTGTAACGTACAGACAATTGGATCCGACCTAGTTTAGCTTCACCAGAGGACGATGTTACCGTCGGGTTTCTATGAGTCAACTGTGGACTTCCGGAAGGAGGAGTCGTAGTAGAGACGATTAATTCTTCTTCTACAGGCACTGACTCTTCGGCAACCATCTCAGCCCCGGATTCAGTGCTGCGTGGTATACTGTTAATTGACTCTTTCGAAGTTTGTTTCTTTAATGGACTCGGAGGAACTATAAATTAATTAATATCGTTCGAGTATCTGATGCCACAGGAATTTCAAATATGGACTTACCGCTGGTTGACACGCTGCTAATATTAGACTCTTGTCGTTCGATTCTTTTATTCAGTTGATTAATATCGTGATCGTCGTCATCCTCTTCTGAGGTAGGCTGCGGGTCTCCGTATTTCAAAATCTGCGTATACATGTAAATACAGTATTTTCATTGTTAACTACTGTCGAGGCTCGCAAATGAAAACCTCAGCAATATAAAGACTATGAAAGGATCGTACGTTCAATGACATAGACAATATTAGCTTGCTATCGGCCTCGGCCATCTGTAAATCGTAAGGCTGTTGCGAGATTTCAAGATTATTCTGCTTGAAAAGTAAAGAGATATTGTAACTCATCTCTCCGACTATCAAACCAGTCTTTTCGTCCGTGATCTAAAATCGAAACATAACACGAAACATGAAATCTCGTCGGCGAAACATGGCAAATATTACAGAATTCGAGAAAAATGTGTTGTTACTTTTATGTGTAAAATTCCAGTCTCTGGATTGCTCACTAAAAAGGTGAAACCCTGTTCCCATACTGGATCACAGGAACGTAATACAGTAGCTGTTCTTTTAGTGTTACCACCTACGCTTGCTTGCAGATAAACGTCAGGTTGCTTATTTCCTCGAACACACTGAAATATCAATTCATTTTTCATCGTTGTTTGTATAAAATGTTTTATTAAATCATCAATCAGTAAAGTTATATTTTTATTTACCGGTAAATTCTTCGCAGAGTCAACGTACAAAATGAGCAGAGCTGTGCTCATCGACGTTACTCGAAGTTCTTGCGTTTCAATTAAAGCCTATATGCACAGCAAAAGATATAATTAGCGTGATAACTATAATGTTCTCTTTTTCCACATCTTGCTGATAATACGTACAGCTTTCAAATCGGCGGTATTTTTCGAAAGTTGAAGCCACATTAATCGTAGATGTACCATGCCATGTTTCGCTTGTTCCAGTGAAACCCACTACGAGATACCTTTCGCATTTTTATTCCAAAACTTATCGTAATGATCAAACATTATTCTCTTACTTACAGTGTCTATATTCCCCTTCTTTTTCACTCTACTAACTTCGATAGTCGCTCTATATTGGCAGAAGGAAATCGTATTATTCAGTATTCCATTTCATTGTAACGAATCAATCGCTATTGAAATATATGTATATAATTTATAGCAAGACTTATAAAAGTATGATCGGTGCATTGTATCGAAATACAGTAATATTAAATTTAATGCATGCATAAGATGTAGCAGCCATGCAAAATAGTGATACGTTACAGTACTCTGATTCCAAAATACAATGAATTTTTTTATGTACATTCACGGCGATATATACAGCGCGTTAATAATTGGAAGAGTAATGCGGTGACATTGTTCTGCAACGATCAAATGGACATATGTATGCTTCGTAATATTCTTTACTCTTTGTAGCATGCACCATGATCACGAATACAGTTTCGATTCTTGAGAATGCTACTGATTTTTAAGCGTATAATTCATGGTAATATCGAAAGAGATAGGGACATTTTCCTAAACTAATCGTAGTATAAAAACTTTCAAATGCATTCTACATTCTGGCTGGGTAACTGTACTTGCTACAAGTAGCAATACCTGCCAAGTGGATCATCCTGGCCAGCGTTGTCTCTGTCAAAAAGATGGGCAGCCACCGTGTTGTAATAAGCTCCCAAGCTCTTTTCCACTACAAACTGTCATCACATAATCTAGTTTAGTTCTTTACTTGATCAAACAATATAGTCACCTAATCACTCTCAGAAAATTAAGAAGTCAAATTAGGAGGAAACTGTCAAACATCGTTATTACACTATTCATTGTGAAATTACTTCGAATGTTATCTGTATAATTAAGGGAAAAAGGGATAATTAAAGCAAATTACTATAGACAATACAAACGTATTGTACACAAGAAATTAAAGTATGTTACATAAATAAACGAAATATAAATACATTTAGACACCAGCTGTTAATATTACATTTTGTGAGTAACTGAGAATCATGATAGCAAAAGTTTGACAAGTATGCAACCATTGTTAATATTTTAATATCAAATTTCCTTGGTACAAGTATTATGGTACGAACGTAACTACTACCTGCCGAGAAAGTCATCATATTGAACACATGGAATGTTTACTACATCCCTATCCCAAAGTAACACCATAGTCTTCTGCATTATGCACGAGTAAACCACAGCCTGTGTGTCAATATGATAATGATAAAGATAGAATAGAGTGTATATAAAAAGTAGAGCTGATGGAAGATATATAATTTTATAAAGCTATAAATTTAATATAAAGAATACGGAAAAATAGTTATCGTCGAAATAAGTAAAATCAATTTTGATATTCTGTACATGTTACATCAAGCATTAAGTGGATTGCACTATATTAAAAATGATGCACAGTCAAACATCAAACGAAATGTTCAGACAACACCATCAGCATGCATCTAATTTGTGCGAATGATAGAGCTATGATATAAACCAAGAATCATGAGAATGTACAAATGATAATTAACTATAGACGAATGAAATCCTTATAAAATAATGAAAGAGCAGATTGAAATAATTACTTAGTTCCTTTTCTAATGAATCTTTACCTTGAATCGATGAAATTAAAGAAATGAACGTATACTTCATTTACCTTCCAAGACTTTCATCCCCCTTGGTGTCATCATAGTCCCACAGCAGCAAAGTAATTTGTTGAGCGATCGCTGACGTCACGGCACACTAGTTCCACATAACACATCTCACATCACATACACACATACATACCAAAATTTGAAATTAAAATAGATCGATAGAGAGGCTCGGATGTTTCTGATCTATCTATGAAACTCCTTAGTAGAAATTGTGATAAGTGCACGTACATTTTGCAAGTATCACCCCGAATTGAAACGTAAGCAGGTTTCGTTCTTTCGCTGTGCAAGTGCTTATGATTTAAATGAAGTCTGAGTTAGTCATTGAAACGAATACAAAAGTGGTAGCATCAATTTGCTGGTAGAGAAAGTTAGATCAGCAACATCTCATAATCAGAATCAAGACAAGATACGAACATATATAAAGAAAATATGAATTATAAATAACACAATGAGAAGTGGAGAAATTAAATTAAGCCAAATAAAAAATATAGTTGAAATCAACATTTCGGGATATTTCGTGTTACACTGTTCTGTTCTCTACTAGATATCTGTATGCGCTTTAGATTAGATAACTGCTCTTACCACGTTAAGATGCTGTGCTTGATAATTCAAAGGACTTAGAAGAGAATTAAAGCACATGCATCAAGTATCATTAACATGTGACACGTTTTTATAAAAGAAAACTATCGTACATACCTCACACCAGAAATCCCATTTTGGGTTTACTGTATTGTCTATCGTTTTCGTTCGGAATTCCTGCGCTCCAACATTTATGACCGCATAAGGATCAGATTTACCCTTGCCTAATACTCCGATGTCTTTCTTCATAAGGTGCTTTGCTTCTACCACATGAATTCTTAACACACCCTACGAAGAAATATTTGTATTTCGAATGTGCTAAGTATTTCATAGTGGTTCAAATACTAGATGTAAGAAACCTTACCTCGGGCTCGGGTATCTTCAACGATTCGACTGGTACCGCTTCACTCAGAGGTATAACAATCTTATTTGGCAACACTACGAAAGCTGCTATTTGTTCCACTATCGTTTTTCTCAAAATTTCGCTGTTTGGAGAATAGATAATTTACTATATCGTACGAGAGATGAATGAAGTGATTCGTTATGAAATTGTTCTTACTTGAATCCGGGGAGATCGAGAACATCTGCAACTCCTATCAAATTGAAATTAATAGCTGGAGGATTTAAAAAGAACGCTTGTATCCCTCCAACTATTGGCATCACAGGTAACAGCGGCTTCATGACTATTCTCATTAGTCCACGAATCTAAGAATTTATTGAAAATACAGAAATAGATTAATAAAGAAATAAGTAAAGGTGTTTATACCTGAAAATCCTTAATACCGCCTTTCACGTTGCCAACGGAAAAAGTAATATCACAATCGCCGGCATATCTGCGAAAATATTGGTGTAAAACATCATTCATAAATTACTTTCATCAGGTACTGATACACACATGATATCTGCATCTACTATGACTTCGTTTCTTGAAGTGTTCCTATCGTACGCTTTGATTCCATAAATTTTTAATGGCTGCAAGTATAAATAAGAGTTAACACTGATGACAAAACTCGTATTTCTGTGATGAAATAATTTACTTACTATACGACCTAAAACCAATCGTTCAAACTGGAATCCTTTCATCTTATATTCTGCTAGCTTTTCTACTATGGCAGGTTCTATGCTCTGCTTACAAAGTTCACGGGCAAATTGATTTACACTTGGCCAAACTTTGTATAAAACCTAGAAGCGAAAAGTAAACTATCTAGATCTCAGACAAGATATTATTGATGCATGATACAAAGACAACTATCCATACTTTATTCAACCATTCGGCTCTATCGAAATCCGGAAAATAAACCCAAGAAGGTAGTTCGTCCAATCTGCTCATTATCAGCTCTTTCTCTTTGGCCATTACACTAGCTTGGGCAGTGATTGCTCTTAATTCATTATCTTTTCTACGTTCTCCTTTCCATGCCATCATGGCAATGGGTGCAATTAGCCACGCTATGTTGAAGTTGAAATAGCCCCATCCCCAAATTATACCAGCAGTGGCCAGTTTACTTAGAAACGATAAAGCCAAAGAACCGATGTTCATGTATGGCCAAGGATTTGGCTTGGACATTTTATTGTCATCGCATTTACCCTCCATCTCTATTAAATAATTACGTTGCTTCGATTTAATAATGATGTATACTTGTATTTATTATCTACATAACTTTTATATATAATTATGTAAAAAATCTTTAAACAGCTTCCAATCAATTGTCTCTCTTGTTCTTTCTGCAAGAACAAATGAAGCATCTGATTTAATAACGATAAGAATGACATAATTACACGTGTTAGATTAAAATAACAAACAGAAGTGCTGTTTACTATGTATATATGAGTTACATGTCAGTAGTACATCAGTAAATCAGTAGACAAACTTTGACGACATTCAAGATAATACGAGATTATCACACGAATTCTGATCAATATCAAGATTTCGTGTCTTATCACCACGATTATCATAAAAAAATTAAAAGATGACGAAACACCAAATTGAGAATAAACGAGGCCAGTTTTGTGTATATTTGATAAATATCGCAATTTGTAAATATGATACGAAATTAAAAGTAGAATATCACATCTTTTAGCAAAAGATTGAATCCACAGTGTACGACTAAGCTTTTATTGATATTAAAAATAAAAGTACATAATACGCAAAGAATATGAAAGAATACAATAGCAAATGAAATAGTTGTTTAAAACAGTTGAAATCGAGTGTTACTTCGTAAAATTAGGTGTAGTCTTAAAATTCACGTGCTATTTATATAATTCAAGATATGCAGATAAAAATTAAAAAAATATGCAAGTAAATTGCAAGCATTGTTGTTAGTTTCATTAAAATATTAGTTCGTTGTACAATTTGCTTACACTTGTCTATGTGGCACGTCTAGGGGTCTAGGGCGCATACACTTCGAAAGATTTCATGTACAGCTACCCAATACGATTCAATTTTATTCTGACAGAATAATCTCGCGATTCTCGTGGTATGACTCACTGCCAGTTCTGGCTATATAGATACACATGTAACGTATACCTATAGATATATTTAGCAACCAGCACCTACACACATACATAATACGTACGTGCATAAAATACTATTGTCAGTCTTATACATAATTTGAGGAGTGCATAAAATTTATTATCAAATAACGAACGTTAAAAATATTTACATAAAATTCATTAGTCACTAATAAAAATAAAGGGATTATACAGGGAATTAAAATGCACATGTATGCTATTAAAAAAATATAATGTATTTCTTTATTTTTATTG